ACCTTATAGTAGCCCTATCTAAATTGTATTTGCCTAGTTTATCGATAAGAATATCATGCGAGACCGTATCAAATGCTTTACTAAAGTCTAGGTATACCACATCCACAGCTTCTCCCTTATCCACAAGACTCGTTATCCTATCAAAGAAAGCTATCAGATTGGTTTGACACGATTTGTTCTTTACAAATCCATGCTAGCTATTCCCTATCACCTTACCACTTTCCATGTGTTTGCAGATGATTTCCTTAATTACTTGCTCCATTATCTTCCCTGGCACAGAAGTTAAACTAACTGGTCTGTAGTTTCCTGGCAAGATTTCCCTTTTTATAGATGGGCACTATTTGCCCTTTTCCAGTCTTCTGGAATCTCTCCCGTCTCCCATGATTTTCCAAAGATAATAGCTAGAGGTTCAGATACCTCCTCTATTAGCTCCTTGAGTATTCTAGGATGCATTTCATCAGGCCCTGGTGACTTGCAGGCATTTAACTTTTCTAGTGATTTTTAACTTGTTCTTTTTTTATTTTATCTGCTAAACCTACCCCCTTCCCATTAGCATTCACTATGTTAGGCATTCCTTCAGACTTCTCGGTGAAGACTGAAACAAAGAAGTCATTAAGCATCTCTGCCATTTCCAAGTTTCCTGTTACTGTTTCTCCCTCTTCACTGAGCAGTGGGCCTACCCTGTCATTGGTCTTCCTCTTGCTTCTAGCTTGCAAGTCATGGGAGATTAGGCCTCAGCTGGAGTACTGTGTTCGATTTTGGTCACCAATGTATAGAAAGGATGTAGAGAAACTGGAAAGGATCCAGGGGCGAGCGACAAAGATGATCAAAGGGATGAAATGCAAGCCATGTGAACAACGGCTGAAGGGACTGGGAATATTCTGTTTGGAAAAGAGGAGATTGAGGGAGGAACATGATAGCAGTCTTCAAATACTGGAAAGGCTGCTATAAAAAAAGACAGGAAAAAGCTGTTCTTTCTTGCTCCAGAGGACAGGACAAGAGGCAATGGGTTCAAACTACAGCATAGCAGATTTTGAGTAAATCTCAGGGGAAACTTTCTAACCATAAGAACGGTAGGACAATGAAACAGGCTGCCTAGGGAGATAGTGGAAGCTCCTTCACTGGAGGTTTTCAAAAGGAGGCTGGATCGCCATCTGCCTTGGATGTCCCTTTAACCTTTGTTGATAAAAGTGACAATTGTTCCTTAGTCACCATATGATCATGGCCATGCACGAGACAGGAAAACGTGGAGGTACAAAGAATGAGTCTGTGAGGGCCGCAGAGAAAATGAATGTACTGGGGAGCTGGACAAGGAAATATGTAGAGTCTGGGGATGTAGAAGGCATGAGATGGATGTGGGGGGAATGTGGGAGGCAGCAGGCAGACTGAGGAGGAATGCAGGAGAATGTGAGGAGGAGAAGACTATGAGGAGAAAGAGGGAAATATGGGAGGCAAATGAATGTAGGGAATAGATAGGGTACAGGAGCATACAGGGAGAATGAGAATGGGGCTGTTCCTTATCCTTTCAAAGGAGGGAGAGGGATAGAAAGGCAAGTTCCCCAAGCACCAGCAGATAGACGAGGGTAAGTGGAGCTCTCTCCGATAGTGAACAGGGAGGCTACATCCTTGTGAGTGTATTTAAGGTTGAATTTTGACCTTGAGATAACATACAAGTTGCGAAGGGGAGGTGTTCGTCCCCCTAAAGGTGAAAACAATCAAAAGGCATGTGAAAATGTTGTATGTTTTTATATCCTAATTTTTAAGCCAATCACGAGTGGGATATTTTGGGGGCATTAGGGGTCTGACTCATGATTTTTGAATATTTGGAGTTGGCAATATTGAGGATGAGTCTGGAACATTTGGAGGGGGAAGGGAGACCTGTTGAGTATCCCAGACCAGGCTGAAGTCTATTCTGTGGTTAATTTGGGGGCTGGAGTTGCTGATAATCATTCTCCTTCCATGGCCAGAGGAAGAATGATTTAGGCTAAAATATTGTACAAACTACAGTGGTTTTGACACTAAGGGCTTGTCTACACTTACCGTGGGATCCTGTAAATCGACCACAGATCGCTCTCCTGTTGACTTCTGTACTCCACCACATCGAGAAGAGTAAGTGGAGTCGACAGGAGAGCATCTCCCATCGACATCGCATAGTGTGGACCCCGCGGTAAGTAGATCTAAGCTACGTCGACTTGAGTTACGCTATTCACGTAGTGTAGACAAGGCCTAAGCCCAGGCGAAAGGTGGAGGCCGTTCGAACTAAGCTTGTCTGAGTTTTCTGGTTTGTTTGAATGTGAAATACGAAGTGAAACTCCAATAGATGAACTCCCACAAACTGAAAAGTGAACTCTGTGCAAATTGGAAACTGTTTCACACAACTCCGCTACTCCAGTTTTTATATTTAACAATGTTGGGAATTTTTTTCTTAGATGGTCCATTGAGGTTTAATTTCTTTTTTCTTTTTCCCAATAGGCCTTTTCTCAATTATCAGAGGATGTACTATGTTTTCATGCAGATGCTGTCTAGTGGTCCTGCATGGCTGAGTATCATTTTGCTCATAACTGTCAGCCTTCTTCCAGATGTACTCAAAAAGGTTTTATGCAGACAGTTGTGGCCCACAGCAACAGAAAGAACCCAGGTAAAAATATCTTTCTTAGTAGAGTTAGTGATATTTACTATGAATCCTTAAAAGTTAGAGCCCTCTAGCATTTTAGAAGCAATAAATGGAGAGAATAGAATGTTTAGTGATAAGTTTGTGTTAGTCATTTTCTTCAGTGTTGAAATTTCACTGTGAGAGCTTTTTGATCAACTCTTCATAAATTATAAGACTGTTGAGAAATAGTTGATGGTACTGATCCAGGCAGTTCATTACAGCTATATACAATGGAAAACCATGTAAAGGCATTTTCTGAGCACAAAATAAAACCAATAGCAAGAAGGCAAGTTTTTTGTAACCAAATCCAAAGTAACTCTTTGCAAAAGCAGTTCCAGTCCAATATCAAGAGAAGACTATATGAATGTTTGTTTAATTAATCCAGGATTTGTAAATTTAAAAATTAATATGCATATGACTAAGTAGTTTAATACTGCTAAAATATCACGTTACGTGACCCATGTAATCTAATAATTTCCTAGGAAACTATATTACTCTTGTTTGCTGTCTCTAGTGAGGCTGTGGCTTTTACAAAAATGCATTTAAACCAGTTGTTCTCAACCTATTTACCATTTTGGGCCACATATGCAGCTCTCTCTGTGTTATGTGGGCTGCATCCACACAATATATATACTACCCATATAACACAGAGGATATCACATTGGCCGCAGCTGTGTGATAATTGGGCTCCAAGTGGCCTGCGGGCCATGGGTTGAGAACCACTGATTTAAATATTACTAATTCATAATGCTGTTAGCTCTTTTCATCTATAGTTAAACTTATTTTTATTTTTGTTTCTTTCAGCACTCTTTCTAGAATTAATATTCACATATATGAGATGCATATATTCACAACATACTAAACTACAAACACACTGACATGCACTGTAGTCACATCATTGAAAGACAAGCCTGTTTTCAGATCTCTACTTTCCCCATTCCTTTGATCAGCCAACAGGAAAAACTACTGTATGGTGTCAATGCAAAACTCCCTTACTAATGAATGAGAATGGAGCCAAACTCAGGTTGTTGGATGGTAGCCCACAGCACTACTGCCGAGGGCCATCAGGCCAGTTCCAACCTTAAAACTCTCATATCTGTAAGGCAACTCTCAATGCCATTATTCTGCATTCCCTGTATGTATAAAACTATAACTGACCCATTTCAATAGGAAAACCAAGCTTGTAGGATAATAGCAGAATATTGGAACAAGATTTCTGCACAGATCAGATTGTAGAATTTTTCCATTTGGACCTTTGAAGATAGGATTCTTCGGTATATGACTGCTACTTACAGAAGCTCACTATATCATCAGTTCTCTGATCTCTGTCTAGGCTGTGGGTGCTCGGGCTAAAAACTCTAAAGAGAGAGAATGAGGATGGGTTATAAAACAAAAATTAAAAAGAGGGTTCGGGGAGGATGTACATCTAATGGCATTTCTCAGTGCCATGATGTGTTAATGTTGGAAAATGAACCAGCTGGAAAGCAGAGTGTGGGCTTAACACTGGCGATGTTCATTTTTAATAAGGTCTAATATCACTAGAAAATCTTTAGCTTTTAACCAGATTTATCCCTTGTATTTCTTTCTTCTCTCTCTCTCTCTCCTTCCTCCTGTCTTCCAACCTGCTTTTGCCTAAATAACCACTACCTTGCTTTAAACATACATGATGTGCACGATTACTTCCTACAATCTTCTGGGGAAATCAGACTAAACATCAGTGCCTTTCTGTTGAGCAGTCCACCATCTTTATGCTTTCTCAGACTTCAAGCAGTCTAAGTTTCTAATGGAATAAAAGGTGATTTTTTTTCTGCCTTTCTGCATGCTTGGCCATTTCATTCAAAAGACAGTAGAAAGCTTAATTATCATCAAAACCTGTTTACTGTTATCATTGTCTCCACTTCTGACTCACATATAAACTACTATTCAGAATAGCTTTTTCTTCCTTGTGTTTATCCTAAAGTGTTTACATATCATTAGTGGTTATCTGAGTCATCTTTGTCACAGTCATTCAAATTTTATGCAGTAATATTTCTGCTTCAGGAATCAAAGATCTGTGACTGTTTCCCTCCTTTTTGAAGCACTGATATTTCTGTAGATGAATGTACATAGTGCTTGCATTGTAACTGACTAAGTTGACTGTTCACCACACAAAGAAGTGATAAAGCCCTTAAGCAAGATGATATTGGTTTTACCATTATTTCTAACTTAATAGAGAAATTATGGTATTAAGCCATTTAATGGCTCTTTTGTAATGTGTCTACTCCACTACCGTGGGGAAAAATGCTGCAACTCTGATCTTTTGTTCTGCAGCCATTATTTCCAGCAAACATGTTTCATTTTTTAAAGGAAATTTACCTTGTATTCTACTTCACGAAATTCTATGCTGCTTTCTAGAAAGAAAAAAAAATCTATAAGATCAGAAATAACTGTTGAATTCAAAATATTTAAATTAACAAAAATGTAGGAAATAGACTAGTGAAAGATGCCCTTTTATAGACCAATTTAAGGTGAAATCATGTCCCCATTAAAGTCAATAGCAAAGCTCTCATTGACTTCAATGGGGCCAATCTCTATTGCAGATTTCAATTCATATTACTGACTGACCAACATAATAAATAGATTTTTTTTTAAAGTGTTGTCATTTAAAAATGAGTTGTTGCATAAGTCGCAGGGAAGACAAATGAAATTAATTTTGAAGTTCAAATTTTTGGCTAAAATTCTCTTCTAAATATGCTAGAATTGGTTTGAACTAGCAGCTTGAGCAGCAATGATTTTTAGTTTTTGCATCCCTTAAAATGAGAAAGCCTTCTTTATAATATAGTTTAGAGGGCTTCTGCAACAGCTGAAAATATACTGAACCAATTCTGGCTCTACAGAACTTTGTATTTCTAACCTAGAGATTATTTGTGTGGGTGAACAGCTATTTACCATCCATTACCATTAAAAAACATCATTTAAAGTCTGTCACCGTTTGAAGTTCCATACCAGAGGGGTGGTGTTAATGCTAGCTACCTTCCTTTGTTGGGATAAAACAATCAATGCTTCTGCAAAAGCTTTGGAGGAATCTATTGCTATGAGTAACTTTAGACCAAAACCAGCATGCACCTCTCAGACAATTAGGCTCAATAATTACTGAGAGACTATTTGCTTGTGTGAGGCAAGCTGAATTTGGCCCTTTAATTTGAAATTACACGTGTATGGTGTTTTCTCTGTTATCTATCATACACTGTGGTCCTGTGTTATACCCAAACTGCATTAATTTATTACATTTCCACTACCATTATTCTTTCTTCCCTCTAACTAACAGCAGAAACATCTAATATCTGGCAACATTCATTTGAAAAATGCAAAAGCACATCAAATGATCTTCTTCCCACTTTTTTATTGGCTCTGTAATTTTACATTTTTAACCCATTAAAAAAAACAACACCACCTTTTCCCTTCCATTTGGTTGCTGACAGATATTTTCTCTTTAGTATTTTGCTTCAGTCCCAATCTCAGGTCATACACCTTGTTAAGAAATCTTTGCCTTTTGTGGTTTCTAGAGGAGCCAAAAATGGTACTTTGCTTTAGAAAGGAATAATGGGGACTCTACATACTTCCACTTTCCTATGAGTATAGCCTGTTGAACTAGAGCGCTTTTATTACGTCAGTGACCAGTAAACTATTATCTTTGTCAAGTCGTTGGCTTCTTCTCTTTTGAAAGAAAAGAGGACAGGATTCTGCTTTTGAAGAACTTGAATCCCATGACAACTACTGACCCTTTCCCTGTGTTGGAATGAGTAGTCTTCAAGGTGATCTCCTGTAGCACCAACCCTCATCAGTTTCAAGTGCAACTGCCTATTTCTTCAGTACAGAATCATTCTGCAAATAAGTAAAGGGGATCATTTGCTCTTTAATTTTGGTGGCTGAGCACTTTGAGCTGACATCTCATAAATAAGGCTACGATTTTGTCACAGAGGTCGTGAAAGTCACAGAATTCATGACTTCCAGTGGCCTCCATGACTTTAGCCTGCGGCGGCCGGGAACTACAGGATTTGTCTGAGCTCTGAGCCGCTGCAGGTGGTGAGGGTATCCTGCGGCTCCTGAGTGGTGGGAGCCCCTGGGAGCTCCTGGCCACCAGAGCCACGGGTGGCGGGGGAACCTGCGCAGCTCCAACTGGAGCCCCTGCAGCTGTCCAGCCGCCACTGATGGTGTGGGGACTCCGCAGCTCCCCATTTTGTCACCAATGTTTTTAGTCAAAGTCATGGACAGATCATTGGCTTCTGTGAATTTTTCTTTATTGCCCGTGACCTGTCCGTGACTTTTTCTAAAAATATCCATGACAAAATCTTAGCCTTACTCATAAATAAACATTCTACCAGTATAGCTAATAGCCTTGTTCCAGGACAGTTTTGACATTCTTATAGGCACTGTGCTCTCAAGTCATTTGATCCTGTCATAAGGAAATCTCTTGTTAATACAAAGAACTTTTTCTGCTGTAATTAATAGTCAAAAGAGTGTGGCAGAACATATACACATTACTAGTTAGTTATGGTACACTGTATATATCTCTGAGAGAGTGATTAGTATTCTATCAATGGAGTTCAAAATGGGATTAAAGCCATTCTGAGTGGGCAGTATGGCTCAAGGAATTAACCCCAGGATTAGGAATCTACATTTTGATTTAAACCTAACTTTTTAAAAAAAACTATCTTGGAAAATTTTATTGCTTTATATGACCTTGATACAACAATTAGATTTTTATTCTTTACATCTTAAGAAATTCACTCATTTCCCTCATGTATTCAGCAGTAGTCTCAGTGTTTTTCCTCATCCTTGCAGAAGAGTATGAAACATAAAACAACTCTAAATGCACTGGCGAACAGCGATGGGCCACTTCTTGAAGGAACTCTTTCAGCTTCCGAGGCATAATTAGATCAATGCTAGGTAACAGTATTGCACATGTTGCCAGTTTGGATTCATTTCTATTGGTGTGCTGTGCTATTTACAACTAAAACTATTTCCTCCAGAGTTTTTGTTGTGCCTTACCAGTTTTGATAGATAATATCATGACCATTTTCTTAGAGATCCAAGTTTTTGTATGATGTATGTCAAATCACAGGTAAGGTGTTTTTGTCTCAGACACATAATAGTAAAAGGCCCTGATCCTGCAAAGCAATCTGCCTGCATGGATCCATACACCCAGAGGGGGTTCCATTGAAGAGGATTGGGTTTAAGAGATTAAGTATTGTATGACAATTGCTTTCATATTTATAAACTACTTGTTCTCATGCTATATCTTGGGTGCTGAATACATAGTATACAGAGAAATAATACTTATCCATTAGCAGTTTATTCGTCACAGCCCAGGTTCTTCTCAGACACATGTATAGACCAAATGCAGACAAAACAAGATGTTAGACATACAGAGTCTTAAAATGCTGTAGGTATTACTGAAAACTCAAACATGGAACTCCATGTATTATGTCTCTTGTGTGATATATATTCTTGGATGAAAAACTGCATTAGAATGGCATTAAGATTGAAAGTACATAGCAGTAATTTTATGGTAAAAAAAAAATCACACAGGAATTTTGTAATTATCTCCAAAACAGGCATTAAAAACCCAGAAAATTTGGAGTTTAACATGTTTCGATTTCTTTTAAGTTTAAGGTTAAGGTATAGAAAAGCATAGTTAAAGCATAGGAAGAACCCTAATTCTGCCCTGTGGTGACACTATGCAATAACGATATAGTTACAATTAATGCATTATTCTAGTGTCTGGGGTCCCTGATTAGATTAAACTGCTTTTCAGGTTTTTTCTCTCCCGGTGTCACTACAGAAGTCACCATGGGAAACCTGTGAGGGGGGTCAGGAAGGGTGAGTGTAAATATAGAGGGTGCAGGACTGTTCATTGGCCTTCAAGGATAGTTGTGGGACAGAGTGTTATGTATGAGAAGGATCTTGTTTTGAGGAGACCAGGGGTATGTCTACACTACGAAATTAGGTCGAATTTATAGAAGTCGGTTGTTAGAAATCATTTTTATAAGGTCAATTGTGTGTGTCCCCACACAAAATGTTCTAAGTGCATTAAGTCGGCGGACTGCGTCCACAGTACCGAGGCTAGCGTCGACTTCCGGAGCGTTGCACTGTGGTAGCTATCCCACAGTTCCCGCAGTCTCTGCCGCCCATTGGAATTCTGGGTTGAGATCCCAATGCCTGATGGGGCAAAACCAGTGTCACGGGTGATTCTGGATACATGTCGTCAGGCCCCACCCTCCCTCCCTCCCTGCCGTGAAAGCAACGGCAGACAATCGTTTCGCGCCTTTTTTCAGGCAGACGCCATAGGACTGGGATCATGGAGCCCGCTCAGATCACCGCGGCAATTATAGGCACTTTAAACAGCACGTGCATTATCCTGGAGCATATGCAGGACCAGAACCTGCCAAGGCGAGGAGGCGACGGCAGCGTGGCGACAAGAGTGATGAGGAAATAGACATGGACATAGACCTCTCACAAAGTACGGGCCCCAGCAATGTGCAAATCATAGTGTTAATGAGGCAGGTTCATGCTGTGGAACGCCGATTCTGGGCCAGGGAAACAAGCACAGACTGGTGGGACTGCGTAGTGTTGCAGGTGTGGGATGATTCCCAGTGGCTACAAAACTTTTACATGCGTAAGGGCACTTTCATGGAACTTTGTGAGTTGCTTTCCCCTGCCCTGAAGTGCCAGAATACCAAGATGAGAGCAGCCCTCACAATTGAGAAGTGAGTGGCAATAGCCCTGTGGAAGCTTGCAACGCCAGACAGCTACCGGTCAGTCGGGAATCAATTTGGAGTGGGTAAATCTACTGTGGGGGCTGTTGTGATCCAAGTAGCCAACGCAATCAAAGAGCTGCTGGTATCAAGGGTAGTGACTCTGGGAAATGTGCAGGCCATAGTGGATGGCTTTGCTGCAATGGGATTCCCTAACTGTGGTGGGCGATAGATGGAACCCATATCCCTATCTTGGCACCGGAGCACCAGGGTACCCAGTACATAAATCGCAAGGGGTACTTTTCAATGCTGCTGCAAGCACTACTGGATCACAAGGGACGTTTCACTAACATCAAGGAGTCTGGTGGCACCTTAAAGACTAACAGATTTATTTGGGCATAAGCTTTCGTGGGTAAAAACCTCACTTCTTGAGATGCATAGAGTGAAAGTTACAGATGCAGGCATTATATACTGACACATGGAGAGCAGGGAGTTACTTTGCAAGTGGAGAACCAGTGTTGACAGGGCCAATTCAATCAGGGTGGATGTAGTCCAGC